GCAGGCTACTCTTCTTCAATATTTTAAACCAACACAATAAATACTATGTTTGAATCTTCAAGTGAGTATTTACTGCACCACGCTTGAACGGTTCATTGGTTGTTCTCAGCAAGCTGTTGACGCATTTCTTTCATGATCTTTTTATATCGAATTCTAGATATATCGCACTATTTCGCGATCGCCGCGCCGTTCGATATATCGAGGTTCGACTGTAGTTTGTTCCACAGTAGGGCTCGCAAGTAAGCCACCATATTAATAGAGTACTTTTCTTCTAGTTTATTATGTGCCTTTGTGTCAAAACCTATACCGGGCCTATATCGAATTATGCCATATATCGCACTAATAAATGTTTTTTGACGAGTTCGATATACCCAAGTTCGACTATATATATATATATATATATATATATATATATATATATTGCCTTGCCTAGTAGGAACTATCAAGAAATTCGAATGGCACTTTTAATGGTGTATACTTTCGCAACCTCTTCAATAAAGTAACGAGGAGCGCGTTGTCACCATGTTTGTAGAAACCACTTTTATGTAGCGTTTGAAGCTTAATTACTTTCTGGCACAATACCGTGTACCGGATAACATGAAAATATTGAAATTATGTTTCTTCGATACGCTTTCAAAATATAAAAACCTTGAACGTCTATTGTAAGGTGCCCAAAAATTAATTGTCAAGCGTTCCGGCAGAGAAAATGCGAAGTGCTGAATAAACGTCACAATAATCAAAATATCTTAGTTTAAGACATCTCCATAAATAGAACAATGACTTTATTAAGCATTCAGTGCCATATCATTCGGCTACATGCATTGTGGATTTTTCTGTCAGCCTCAGAGCAAGAAGCTCGTCCTCAAAAAAAAAAAAAAAAAAGTCACGTGCTCGACACGCACAGGGAAAATCAATTGGCTTTTTAACCAGATAGTGCCTCGTAGTCTACTAAATATGCAATATGTCATCGCTGTGATAAATGTGATTAAAAAAACACTGATTAGAACAATTGAGTGGGTCACTGTTGGGACAAACACCAGCTAATTTGCTGCGGCTGCTGCCCCGAGGGAGCCGCCGCTACTCGTTTCCCCGTCCCTCCCGTCCCCGCCCCGTCGCGCTGCAGCGGCCGCAACTGACCCTACGGCTGACTTGCGCTCTCCCATAGAAAGCCACTGAACGCGGCAGGCCGTACTGTGCACTTTTTCATCCAGCGGCCGTGGCTGGAGACGCTTAAGCAAGCATCTAAGAACGTCCCTCTGCTCATTGGAGGTGATTTTAAAGCTCATGACCCTGCCTGGGGTGTCAGAAAGCCGAATAAACGTGGAAAATATCTTTGCGATGCTATTGAACTCTCTTCTGTAGAAACTTGTAACGCCCCCAACACCCCTACAAGAATAGGACTACACTGAGCACATAAAGACATGACCCCAGATCTCACCCTCGCCAGCCCCCAATTTGTGCGGCACTGGACAGTCTCCGGCCAGTCATGGGTCAGTGATCATCTACCGATATTCCAGGCACTTCATCGAAAACGCCTCCGGATCAAAACAACAACGATGACTAATTGGAGTACTTTTCGTAGTAATGTTACTGGATCCTTCTCGACAATTGAGGGCCTTCTGGACATTGTTCAACAGGCCCGTGAGCTGGCACGTGAAACAGTGCCATGCGAAGACCATATTAAACCGATGGATAACCATTTAGAAAATTTATGGAAAACAGTAGACTATTTAATCAGAAGATACCGCTTGCACAGCAAACAAGACTCTGACCTCATGAAAATTAAGCGCCGATTTAAGCTTATCAATGAATATCAGCTCGAACTTCAAGGTGAAGCCTGGCAATCCACCTGCGAGCCCTTTGGCCGTGTACCGGACCTCCAAGGTCTATGGCACATTTTTCGTAGCCTCAGTGGGAAAGGAAAGGGCAACCCTCCTCTGGCCGAGCTGTTCCTCAAAGCAGATTCGTCAATTGTGGAAGAAGTTATTACCACTTTCTTTCCTCACGCTTCACTCACTCTGCCTACATCTCTGAAAGCCTGCACTATGACGCAACCTGATCCGAATCTCAATCGCCGATTTAGCATGGGAGAAATGCTAGCAGCCATCAAACACGGCCGTTCTCGATCGGCGCCTGGTCACGACCGAATCACATGGCAAGAACTCCGCAACCTTGGAGATGAAGCCCAGCACGCCCTTTTGGCGGTAATCAATGACCTCTGGGCCTCAGAAAATGTTCCGGAAAACCTTAAGCTGTCTAACATTTATCCTATTCCAAAACATGGAAAAGAGAAGACCCTCTGCAAGCACCTCCGGCCAATATCTTTAACGTCTACTTTAAATAAGCTCATTGAACGCATGATTCACACACGCATGTCCAATTACCTCAAGATAACCCAGCCAGGATACCATCCAGCCCAGGCGGGTTTTCGCCCTAACCTCAGCACCCATGGCTGCCTTTAGCTACTACAGCGCGTTATCAATAGTACCTCAAGAAAGATGTTACCTGACTACTTGCTGGCCGTCGACACGCAGAAAGCGTTCGATAATGTTCACCATAACCCCATTCTTGAAGAACTGGCTAAGTGCTACCCAAGTCAGCGCGCGCAGACATGGATTCGAAATTTCCTTGCAGCTTGGCCCATTCGTTTAAGTGGTGCATCACCTGGATGGAGCCCGAAGACTTACTACTTGGACAGAGGTGTTCCACAGGGATCTATTTTAGGACCGACGCTGTTTGGCTATATTCGCCATCTACGCCAATGATATTACTATATGGACAGAGGCAGTGGATTATTCTGACAAACAATCAATGCAGACCGAGCTGCAGGTAGCCCTCCTCAGTTTATAGTCCACTCTTAAGGAAGTAGGCCTGCAGCTGGCTCCACATAAGACCGAACTTATAAGCACAGACGGCAAGAATCGCACCAACCCGAAAATGTGCATCTCACTCCATACTAGATTACACACTATACAATAAAAAAAACGGACAAATCAAAGTTTTAGGTTTACCAATAGCTAGCTGCAGCAGCCCACAAAACTGGGTATGTGGACTGCGGCAGGCATGGACAGCCACGTTACATATGATACGTCATCTTTCCAACAAATACGGAGGTGCACGACAACAAGCCTGTCACACTCTCACAAGAGCTGCGGTGCTTGAAAAGATTTTATACGGCACACCCATATACACGTTCTCTCCAATGAACATCCAAAATCTGGAACGCCTTTATCGGGCTACTCTCCGTACCATCACGGGGCTCCCTAAACACACCAAGATATCCGCCCTTGAAAGCGCAGGGGGCTTGCCCCCTCTGCAAGACGTCATCTGTGAAGCCAACACTCGACACCACATCCGCCTGGAAAACATGCCGCAAGGTCGTCACCTTCTGCCCTGGGATTGTCAGCGGCATGATGATGCACCTCTTCTTAATCAGTCCTTACCCCCATGAGAAACTCCAATAGCCTCTCGACTGTTCCGTTGCCCCATATCTCTTCACAATAATACTGCCCACCAGTTTCTTGCCACGCGACAACTCAGGGAAGCGTGCTTAGATACCATCGACATATACACACACGCTGCCCTTTCCGATGGCGAAGCTTGTATAGCATGGATCTGTGGGCAAACCACCGAGTACACTGGGGCCTACAGGTGCCATCTACCGAACAATATCCCTATGCATGCCGAACTACTTGCCATATGGAGAGCGACTGCAAGCCTCCCATACACTATACAGAAACCCCTTCCTGTCTTTACCGACTCGGACGCTGCCTACTCGGAAATATTTCGCCCAGCGTCAGAGGATGCTACAGCTGCTGCTATTCAAAGGATCATTCGTAGGCATGAAAAGCCGACAGGCCAATAGAAATTATCTGGACGCCGGGGCATACGGGTGTGGCCGGGGGCAATACGGCGGCACACGCCGCTGCTGCTTCCGCAGGTGTGTTGACCAATCTTTCTCAGCCCCCACCCCTCAGGGTGAACTTGCATGAGCTCTTAAGTCAAATGGCTCCCTCAGTAGCCACAATGCACTATGTACGCACATCCCTGCGTCATGCTAGTAAAAAACGCATTCCGTAGGTTACCCCACCAGTCCTATTTTCCAGCATAAGTCCGCTTTCACTCTTCCAAGAAGTCTTCATTAATAAGGTCTACGCAAATTAAGCATACACACCATACTCTTTAGCAAAATGGCGACAACCGGACATTGTGACATTGACGTGCAATCACTGCGGGGGCTGCGCTGCCGCGCACACCTTCACCACTTACTGTGGCAGTGTTCCGCACTTGAAAAAGGGCGAATGGCCATACAAGCTTTGCAAACCACAAATTATCGTGAAGCGCTCCTTATGGGCCCAGACACGCAGTTATTATTAGCCCAATACGGAAGTCGGAGCGGCCTGATCAGAGTGGTTTAGGGGGTCTGGGAAACCACAGTACTGACCCTACACCGCCTCAGTACCAGTGATGGTGAATACAATAAGTGTAAAACCCATGACACTGTGAACTAGTAGTGTAGTTAGAAAGTCTTGCTTATCCCCGCAGAGGTCCTATGCCTCCGTTTTTTTTTTTTCTTTTTTCAATAAAAGACTATCCATACAACCATTACTTTGTTACAATTAGAAATAAGCTACAACATAGCAGTGCTTTATAAATGCAGGAAAATGAGATAAGGAAGAATATTGTGAAACTTGATCCAACAACGTAAATTGTTCCAAGCAGTACACATTTTATCAACTGCAACAACTGCCACTGCGCTGATGAGAAAGAACAATGAAATGTCTACCAAGCATTCATAGTTCAGTTGTCTTATTTTCAACTTTGCTGAGCGTACACAGTATTTTTTTTAAGCATGCGCATGTGTGCGTGTGCATGCTTGTGTTAGGTTCCGATAGAGATGAAACCAGAACAGGTTATTTATAGCACCAGCTAACTGTAAAACATGCCAAGTTAAATTGATCATACCAGAGGCAAAAAAACAGGAGAAATATTTAACTCACACGTCAGCAGCTGGCTGAGGTAGCGGGGCAACTGGTTGGGCTGTCTCTGTTGCTTTTCCTGTGGACGCATGAAAGGAAAAGTACAGGAAGTGACATAAGAACACTCCCTAAAGGTGGGCATCGCTTCATTAATAATAGACATTTGTTTAACTCATTACATACCGCAACTAGTCTAAATGAATTCGATCAGCACAGCACAAAGAACACACACTGGTCAAATGTTGAGCTACAGGTTAGGACGAGTTTTGATTGAGGGGTTGAATAGGAAGATGCAAGCGGCTTGGCTCATCCCAGCATCAAAGAACTGCTTGGGTTTTGCCAGGGCCCAAGCAGCTTGCAAGAGGCACACAAGCCTCTTGCACACCCTTACCTAAAACACTCCAGTGAAATAACTGCAAAGAATATTTTCAGGGGGGTGGTAAAAGACATCCCAGGTGTTATACAACAAAAAAAAATGCTACTTCTCATTTTGCAATACATTAACTGTAAATCTTACATGCTGCACACAATTGGTGTTTTAGATTTATGGTTGCTTGGAGCCTTTTTCTATGGTTTCTTGATGAACAGGCACGCTCAGTTTCCCTCAAGTCATTGTAGTCTGCACCATGAAGTAATGTCATACCGGAAGATGCGTATTTATATCACAACTGCACGGTTTCTTGAAATACAATAGGAAGTCCAGCCTACCCTTCAATGTGTCCTTTCTTTAACTGCTCCTTTGTTGTTATTTTTTGTTTTGAAAGTCAAACTTGCTGCTTTATAAAGTAGGCATACTGCGAATGCACAAGTAGATTCCAATGCACAGACGTTACATGTGGCCTTCAGTTAGAAACCGTTATCCTGAGAGTTAGGGCCAACTGCGCCAAAGGAACTCTCGACATCTGCTGGCAAGGGCCAGTGCCGTGACATACCTGTGTTAGCATAGCAGAGAGATGAACCTGTAAAGGTCACAAAAAAGTTCTACACCTAGGAAGGCAATGCCGAATTAGCATAGAGCCAAGCTAAACATACAAAACACACAATAACATACAATAACAAAAAATTCATAATGTCTAGCCTGCAAACTACTCAAATGGGCCTGCAATGTATAATTACATGTGAGCTTAACACAGTTGCCACTTCATTATTGAGAAAGGCACAACCTTGAGGTGCACAAATTTCATACTACAGCTAAGACACATCTACATCTACTGCAAGACATTTAACTATCGTGACATGCTGAACATAACTTATTTCTACCACTTCACTGCTGCCACTCTAACAACATGCCAATTTTGCATGTGCTATTGCATCCCTTCCAGACATGCATTTGGCATGGCTTGATCAATCTTCACAAAGCTGCCAGGTGATCAGAACAGCAGCACTACTAATGAAGTGGCAACGCTATGCTAAGGCAGACTACACTTATCACTCGCTTTAATTGAAAGCACACAGTGACTTTAGCAATGAAAAGTGCAGTCAGACTTCAGACAAATTCTGAATTAAATGCAATGCCTGCTGGCCTAAAAAAAAAAAAAAACTTGAATGAATCTTATTTATAGCTTCATGCTACAAACAGGTAGATAATTTTTTCACTTACTTTAATGAACTTTGATCTTACAGGCTTGTCTGTAACTAAACTACTCAGAAGCAAGAGGAAGATTGGTTAGACATGTTAAACAGTGATTTAGGTTGCCACGCTGCTGGTTTATAAAGCAGCATCAGTACGCGTGTAAGTACATGAATGCACCGGTGCTACATATTTTAACTTCTAACCTAATGAGTGTGGACAGCTATTTGGTAGGTTTACAAAATTATCACAGAGTCTATCATCATAGCTATGTTGCTGTATTACGTTACTGCCATTGATACTAACGATAATGGGATTATGAAAACACTCATGAAACTGCTGCCTTTTGGTCAAACATCAGTCAAGGGTCACAAGCTTTTCTTTAACAAACAAAAAATTAAAATGCTGGCTAAGACCAAGAGTACACAAGAGGCAGGTACAAGAGGTCACTAGGCACTGCCTGATGTGAAGCAATGGTCAAAGCTATGGTTGTGCTCCCTGCACACTTCAGAATATATAAGTGACCACAGTATTGTAACCTCATGCATTTCACACAGTTCTAAATACACTGAGGCGTGGTAAATATTTCTACATGCCTTCACATCTCGGCCTACTACCAACATGTTTCAGGTTATCTTCTGGATTCAACTTGAAATGGTAAACTACCTTTTGTACATTTACAAAGTGCTTTGAAATATAGAATGAACTCGTACTCATATAGCTGCCCAATGCCTAAAAACCCCCTCCTCCAAGAGTAAATCATTTCAATGAACTGTATTAACGTCTTGAATTGGGCTGGTAGAAAGAAGCAACAGCACTGGCAGAGGACAGCGCCATGTTTGTGTTTTCTCGTCTTTGCCCTGTGCCAGCGCTGTTACTTCTTTCTTCGTCATTTCACTGAATTTTTAAAAACGCACCAAATTAATCTTTGTAGCATCTACAAGACAGGAAACAATACCCAGCCCCGGCAACTTTTAAGACTCCATGACAATGTCAATACTATAAATCTACGTAAATGTCAATACTGTGATCAAGCAAAAGAGAATGGATTTTCACTTGGTATTACAAATGATTTGTGCCACACTATCCGACTATCTTGTAGCCCGTTATTATATTCCCATGCATGTTCAGAGCAATAAAAAACTGAGAATGTGTGGGCCCTACTGGTTCATCCTGCAAAACAAACTAAGGCTAAGATTTTATGGTGTTTAATTCCAACTGTCTATGAGAATGCATAGGTGATAAAGCCTACTGGTGCTTTTGTCATTGAAAAAACATGGCACTCTGAAGTGCAGTGGTAGAAGGTATTGCATTACACTATACTTCTTGCTTTTCTTGAATGCATATGAAAACATTTCTGCTGACATGCCCGCATCATACTGCCACCAGAGTACGTCCAATGAAATGGATAAGTGAACCCAAATAGTTTAAGCTTAGCAGTAAAAAAACGATCTAACCACTCATTCCTTGAAACAGTGTAACTGCAAGGTGGTGGTTTGACACCTTCTTCGAAGTACTTAAATGAATTAGTCACTGCAGTATTAAAACCTATAGTGTTTATATCCTTCAACACACGTATTATGCACGGAAACATTTCCTCAAGAATGGAAATGCGCAGCACATAGTTCTCTAGCAAAACACCTAGTTTCCGACACCGACACTGTACAGTGGCACAAATGAGGCGAAATTTGTTATTTTCACCTTCTTTTCAATTATATGGGTGTCATTATCAGCCACCAGTTGGGTAACAATCGAGGTAAGAACGACTCGCAGGTATGATCCTGCAGTAAGCTGCAAAGAGCAATATCAGACGTCGCCCGTGCAGCCTAAAGTTGAGCACACGTGTGTGCTGACATCAAATGCGTTATCTAGCTCTAAACTTGAGCAGGTCTCTGGGGGACTGTGGGCAAAAACAACAGTGTTGGATTTCAGTCGCTGGGCCTCGGCGTCCAGCGCTAATGGAACGCTAGAAATTACCTCTAAGAGAATACGGTGGAATAATGTGAGTTTCTCATGAAATGCCTACCTGTTGGGTATCTGTGCTTTAACATACGTCGGCTCATCGTTCTGTGGCAGTCAAGGTTTCTTCGGTAAGGCCACGAAATGGTGGAGGGAGAGAAGAAGAGAGAAAAATAAAAAAGAAACAACGTCACACACTAACAACCGCTCAGCGAAAGTCGCGGACACTCGCGTCCACGACTCAGTCAGTTCCGTAATGAGGAAACAAGCAACGGTGGTACGACGATAGCATCAGCCCCCAACATGACCCCACGACGACACGCATCTGCAACCGGTTGCGTCGTGTTGCAAGGACCATGCCCGCGCTCTCGTGAGATGGGGGGACACAGGCGCGAACTTCCGACGAGCCTTTGCCGCTTTCGCGCTGCGGAAACATTTCCCCTACTGTCCTAAAACGAAGGAAACTACGACCTCAAACACGGCTCTAAACTCCCAGGCGCGACCGTGAACTAAGCATGTTTCCAGGTGACGCGACAGCGTGCGCGTTTTACTCTTGCCTTGTTACCCGTACATATCCGTACGTGTAGTGTCGCTGCCTCACTACAACGCGATCGATATTTATTTTTACGTTTCCTGGGGCTGATCGAAGCAGTCTTAGGCTTAGAAAGCAGCTGTGTTGAGCTAAACATATGTCACTTCCGTTGGCGACGTGTACCAGCCGCGTCGCCCACGGTGCTGACATGAGAACCTCGCTTGACACGCCAACGGGCACCGTCGGCCTTTCACGAGATGGCCTGGGTGATGTCTCGGCTTCCACGCAAGACGACCACAACTCAGTAATTGTGCACCAACGCAACAAAAAAGTGACCTACATACCAGTAGCACTGACCGGTCAGCAGTTCATCCATACTTATTGGTGTTAGTACGCGAAAAAGTTGACAGGTGGCCCGACAGTTGCAAAGAGCACAACATTTGTTTCGTGCCAGTTTTAGACAAAAAGACATTATTAAGCTATACATGATTATTCTTGTCGTGAGGACATGACAAAAATAAAATTGAAGCAACAGAACATTAACTGAGCAAAATTTAACTTTTTTTAGTTTTTGTTGTTCGGTTTTTACACACGTCAATACTTTTAATTATACAATAAAGCTTGTGTCAGCAGCGTTTGATACGCCTTGCCACGTAACAAGTTTAAGGACCATCGCGGTTCAAGCAGTGAAGTCAGCACCTCCTTTTTTTTTTTTTTGTGCCTGTTGTGTCGCACCCGTTCTCATTGCTCTACAATTGGTGCTTTATTTCTTCGAGTGACAATGTGGTGGCGACAGGTTATTACCCTCTCGCGTGGTCTCTCCAAAGAGGTGGCAGTCCTGGACGCCATCAGCGGGAGCAAGTGAAACCACCGGCGGCCATATTGCTAGAGGAATAACGGCGGAACCGCCATAGACCGCAATAGAATACGTACGTTGCGCGCGTCGGTTTGCAGTTCCACGACAAAAAAAAATATAAGATGGAAACCACTTTAAGGTTACACCAACAAACAAATGCCGCTTCTTGTTTATGAAACAAATTATTTCATGCACGCATTCTCGGCTGTACGCTTTCAGATCAATCTGTTGTCGAAGGATGCTTCGCATATCGAGCTTGCAGGCGCACCATTTCGGTACAAAGGGGTTGTAGTATATATTGGGTGTTTTAAGAAATGTGCCTGCAGATACTCAAGATCAAGGGGGACATGACATTTGCTCGCCTCTTTCATACATGTGCTTGTGTGCGTGTCGGCAGATTACCAGAGAATATACATAAGGAAGTGGAAATAATTAAAGCTAAAGTTAGAAAAGAGAGGTAATTTAGTAAACTGGGAGTCACCAGTAATTTTTCTAGAGTTATCGAATTCTAACCAATTTACAGGCGGAACCAAAACCGAAGCATCGATGCCGCGGGCAACCGACAAACTCCAGGAGACGTACCCTAAGTGAACCGTTTATAAGAACGAATGAAGTGTCGTTAGTTATGCGTAATATTTATCAACTTCCGTTGGCGACGCGTGTTGTCATGGCAAGCGCGGCCTTCAGAGCCTAGAAACGAGGTAGCTTCATGTTTGATGTAACATGGACTCACTCATTTTGGCAACTTTATCTATCGGCGTTTTGGTTTTGGTTTCGTCGGCAAGATAGAACGGAAAGGTGTCTCATCTTGTTTTAGACGCAGTTGCTTATTATTTTTGTGACTACATTCTATCGAAGCTACGCCAAGGAGGTAGAAACTAACAGGTATTTGCAGATCGATGCGCACGGAAAGCTAGAAAAATCGAAGGTGCCCTGCCAGGCCGCAGCCTGGTTATTGTCTGCCCCGTTCTGTCGAAGCAGCATTCTTCGAAGTGAATAGAACAGAAGTGGTCACCATCCGTAGCCCTCCAACTATTTCTTCGAACAGCACGTTCCCAGACAGAATGCAGCGCACTGTTTTTCGTAAACCTGTCACAGATAATCACGGCATGGAATTATTCTCTACGTTTGCGAATTCCTCGATAAACGTGCACCAAATTCGATATTCACTCACCAAAAAAAATATGCATGTGCGGCGTCAGTCTTGCCTTGTAAGACTACACCAGAAAACTTGGAATTCAAAGGGCATTGAGACGTCCTACTCGTTCCAATGTTTGATACGTGCAGCCACAAGTTCTTCGCAAGTTCTTCGCAACTGCAAGTTCTTCGTCCATAAACTTAAAACTCAGGGACAACGTCGTGTCAGCGAGCATTTAAAGCTTCAAGTTACCTTCCATACAGCTACACACATGTATTACATGCATGCGCACCTTTCATATTGTTTATAATTTAACAGCATACGCGAAAAAACAGGCGATCGTCAGCGAAAGAAGCAAGAATAGTTAAACTTGAAAAGTGATCCCAGGCGTCTTCTTGATGCGATTCGTGCAGCCATAAGTGACGCCGAAGTCGCCATGGCCATGTGAAATCTGTAATTGCTTTACAAAAGCATGTCACAGTCTCCAAAGGCCACTGCGAGGGCGGAGCTGCGAAGTGCACTTTGTCGTCTGCTTCCGAGTCTTTCCTTTTCCAATATGGCGGTGACCGGCGCCACTTATCGGGGCGCACCTCCACTCCAGAAGACATAGTATAGAACATCCTTGGGTCTCTCTGCTTGACTGCTATGGGTCTGGCCCACCTGATAACATATCCATTGCAGCGACGTTTATTTTGTAGTTGTCCGTCACAACTATATCAAATCCCGCACGTATGTAGAGGCTTAAGGAGAGCTGCGTGGTGCAGAAGCATCACGTCCACAAATCTTTTCAAGACATGCAGCACGGATGGATGCGGCGCAGCCACTGGATGTTTCTAATTTTATGCGATTATTTTCCTTCGTATTCGGTAATTTCGCATGTGTGCGTTTGTTTTAGTAACGTATTACGAAAAAACGCGTCATAAGGTGTCTTATTTTTTTGCTTGCAAGCGCTCGAAGGAGTGCTCTGCCGAATATCGATCCCGATCGAAATATAAGTCGAATTCACAGGTTGAAGTAATGAAACAAGACACAGCAATTTTATGTGCACAAAAAACGAAAAATAAAAATAAATGAGTAGGTACAAGTCAAGAAACAACCGGTTGAACTGAAACCACTTGTCCGTCCAACGTTGAAGGTGCGCGCTTGTCGTGCAAGCTTTTTAAAGCTTCAAAAAACTTCTGTGACAACGGCTTTCTTTGCTAAAGCCTGGCCACAGACTTTTTTTATCGGTAAAGTTGACAGCACAGTTTGTGAACAGCCGCTTCACGAACTTTCTGCGCACAAGATTCTATTAATTTGCGCCTTTGGATTTGGTCACAATGGTCACACAACAGTACTGGCAGGCCAACCATTACATCCGCACTCTTCACGACGCAGGTTTGTAGAGGCTTAAGGAGGAGAGCTGTGCGGTGCAGAAGCATCATGTCCACAAATCTTTTGAGAACATGCACCACATGCACGAGCTCCGCAGTGGGGCAGCACAAGCCACCTCTGTCCTGGTGGGAAATCAAGCCATCCGTACGTAGCACTGATGCTGCTCCCTTTTGCCTTCAAGACTAACGAAACGCAACGCTCGCAGTCAGTATTTTCACTCACGACGCGAGATATGTATCCTGCTATGAGAGAAACTGCTGCTATATCTGGCGTGGGCATAAACGGCTTCGTCGGAGTGCAGAGTTCCTGCAGTAGGTGCTGCGTCAGGTTCACTGCTGCGACCGCGCTTGTTGTTGATGCGCTGCTTAACTTGCCGCTCCTAATAATGCTCCCCGAGGAAGCAAACCAGGCTGAGCTCTGCGCACTGCTGTGCTTTGTTGAGGGCTGGCTGGTCCCGACGAAGCAGAAGAAGAAGACGGCCGACGGAGACGTATGCGGCCGGCGGGGACACCGACCAGCCCGAACACGCGGGTTGGCGCGAAGCGCCGAAAGAAAGCACAACAACCGCACTCCACGGTTACCTAACACACACTGCCTGTATTTTACAGTCGCCTTGAAATCCTAGGCATAGAGAAAGAAGAAGACAAGAGAGGACACTCCGCGAAACCTGGCCTCAGGAAGTGCCTCACGATTACGTAACCAACTAGTGCTCTCAACAAACGTCAGAGGGCGCAAGCGCAAAAAAAAAACAGTTATAATCAATGCAACAGAATTGTTTTCACAAAATAATAATTATACGCCAAATTAGGTATGTTCTTTATACATAAAAACAATTTGTTGCACACACCTTACGCGATTATTTTTCTTCAGCCGTACTGTCATAAACACCATCCACCCAGCGACAAGCCCATGCATGACTGACAGCGGGAAGCTTTCGTCGCTTTCGTCAACGTCGGCTGCGTCGGCGTTTTCGTGCGTGAGATAACAGGTGAGGCACGTTTTCAAGCGAAGCTTGTTGAATGACATGTTGTTGGTCTTGTTCGGTCATTTTTTTTTTCAGAAAACGGTTACACCTGTGCGAATAAGACACCATGCAACAAACATAGAAAGATGCACACAGACACGTTGCGCTTCGTGTGTGCGAGTTTGTTTCTTACGTGGCGTCTCATTCACGCAGTTGTAACCTTTTTCTGAAGCTTGTAAGGACTGGGAGGTTCGCTAAAAAGAAAGTTTGTGGCTCTATGCGGCGGCTAGACGGGAACATTGTGCAACGTATGCAGTATAGCAAAGGCGGCACGGCGTCAAGCCGAGGTGACGCGTGCTGCGTCTGCCACGGACGCGAGCGTCTGTAGGCTGAGCATAGCTGGGCAGCTAGGTCATAGGCTCGGTGCAAAATATTGAGAAGCGTTCGCTGGGCCTCGCATGCTTCACTACACGTTTCCCGAAGGCTCGCAGCACGAATAATTCTTGGTGTGCCGGAGGCAAATCTGGACTAGCCAAGTGGCCATCATCTTCGTTTCTTCGCTAGCCTTGTGCCACTAGTGCAAGCTGCCCACACATTTTTTTGACGTTTCCAATATAATTTTACCGCACAAATTTCAACTACAATTTTTCTTCCCAATGTACTGTGCTGATACTGCGTACGCACGAAGGTGTTCTATAGTTCCGAGGCCACGATACCATTGCATTACAAGGGATAGCGGCCTGGAAACTTCTGAAGATCTTTGTACGTGATCTTGACGTCTATCTTTGTAAGTCAGAGTTTTATGGGTCAGAGATGTATCACTGGTTTTGTATTGTGCATCGATTAGCTAATCTTTCAAAGGGGTTTGTTGGTACACTTATGACGTGCACATATCTTTTTTGTAATTTGACAGCGAAGCATCCACTTACTAACATTTTCAGACCGCGCTGATGCCATGCCGTCCGGCGGTCCAAGCTACGGCAGCTACGGCTGTGTATCGTGGTGCTTCAACAATGGCAGAACCCACAAGAAGCCCTGGACGAGTTTCTTCCGCATACCACGGG